AAACATGTACCTTCATTCAATAATCTAGGACTTCATCGTTGACATCATTTTTGTGATACCATCGGAACCTGAGGAAGTTTCTGTAGTCTTCACGGACGATGAAACAGTGGAACATCTGCTGAATGTCAGCCATAACAGCAATTGGCTGTTGTCTGAAGTGAAGTAAGACTCCTATGAGATTGTTGTTCACATTGGGCCCATTGAGAAGATTGTCATTAGTGAGACACCTTCCTGACGAGCACTTCAGGTCAAAGACCACCCTAATCTGATCAGGCATGCGAGGATGGTAGACACCAAAGCATGGTAGATACCAACATTCTTCTCCTTCCATAAGAGGAGGTGCAGGCTCAGCATGATCTCTCTCAAACACCTTCTGCATAAAGTCCACAAAGTGTTTTTTCATTTCAGGCTTCTGGTTCAAACTGCGATTCAAAGAAACAAACCTTGATTCTGCATGTACCCTGTTGTTTGATAGTCTCTATCTTTGGGTACGAAATGGTAGAGGTGCAACCCAACTGTTGGAATCATCTTGGTAGAACTGTTACTCATGGTTTTCAAGAATTCTTTGTCTTCTATGGTAGCTGCCAACTCATTGTATTTAGTGGTTACCTCGAACACTGTAATGCTGATGTTGTCATCCCAGAGATTAAGAGCTTTCTTATTGTCTTGTATGATGTGCACCTTTTTCAAACAGTCTTTCTTTCACAATATATTCATGTGGTCGTTGTGCAGAACAAGTTGTTCGCCCATTTGACAGGAAATGTGTTTTAAAGAAAGAGACTGAGTTGGACCTCCTGTTCTTGTCTAGGCAGACATTGCCTATGATGACCCATCGTAGATTCAGACGCTGAGCATATGGTGCATTGTGTGGACCGTTGATTTGATGACGAACTTTGTGCACCCATAGGATGTCTCGACCAAGTAACAGCAGGATATCGGCACTTTCATTGAGGGCTGGTATTTGGTTGGCTATGTGCTTTAAGTGAGAATAGTGAAAAGCAGCTTCAGAAGTAGGGATCTCCTCTTTGATGCTTGGAATCTGGTTGCACTCAGTGATAGTGGGCAAAGATATTTCCACATTGTCATTCAGAGGAGCAACTACAAGACCACTGGCTCTCCTACCTAAGATGTCTGTAGTGCCGGAACAAGTGATTAGAGTATAAGGCAGAACATCTCCAGTTATGTTCAACAGTTCAAAAAACTGTGTTCTTGCAAGAGATCTGTTACTCTGATCATCCAGAATAGTATACAGTCTTATGGCCTTTTCAGGATGACCTTTGGGGTATACACGGACCAAACATATCTTTGGTGAAGGATTCTGCAACAAATCCTGTGCACAGACCTCTATACATGTAGAGAACACTGGGGTGGTAGGTGCTGCTTGATCTGAGCACTCCCCGCCTTGCTTTGCCTCAGGAAGATTGTTTGTGAGCGTAGTAGAGTTGTGCAAATATTGATGAAGAGCTTGCAGGTGGTCATCACTGTCACACTCTATACATTTGATGACCGCTTTACAGTCCTTTGCAAAGTGTTCTGTGGAGGCACATAATTTGTAGCAAACCCCAAATTTCTTCAAAAGTTCCTTACGTTCTTGGAGGGTTTTCTCTCTGAAGCCGATACATTTCTTAAGTGGATGTGGTTTGTTATGCACAGTTGTGTTCAAAATAATAGCAGTGTGTTGAAAAAAGGGAATAAAGCTCAAAATCCTTCTAATAGCTTTTATTTCCATACACACAAATGCATTGGGAACACTACACATTCTATTCCAAATCAAAACATGAAGAAAAATATAATCAAATTTGTGTTGTTCCTCTAAAAAAAATTGAAGAAAAGTGAATATTAGACTGTTCAAAAAAATAGGAGTATGTATTGTATTCTTCTTTACAAAAAAATAGCAGTATGTATTGTATTCTTCTTTACAAACTCAAACATTCACTATATAAAACTAAAAAATGTTTGAAGATTTTGCTTTCCTTTGAATCACTTAATTAATATTTAGTTGTATAAGCACTGTTTCTGAGAACTGCTGTACATCTGTGTTGCATGGAGCCAACCAACTTCTGGCACCTGTGAACAGGTATTCCAGCCCAGGATGATTGGACTACATTCCACAGTTCTTCTCTATTTCTTGGTTTTGCCTCAAACTGCATTTTTGATGTCACCCCACAAGTTTTCTATTGGATTAAGATCCCGGGATTGGGCTGGCCACTCCATAACGTCAATCTTGTTGGTCTGGAACCAAGATATTGCATGTTTACTGGTATGTGATAAATACCGTAGTATGAGAAACATCCCCATATCATGATGCTTGCGAAACCATGCTTCACTGTCTTCACAGTGTACTGTGGCTTGAATTCAGTGTCTGGGGGTTGTCTAACAAACTGTCTCTGGCCACTAGACCCAAAAAGAACAATCTTACTTTCATCAGTCCACAAAATGTTGCACCATTTCTCTTTAGGCCAGTCAATGTGCTCTTTGGCAAATTGTAACCTCTTCAGTACATGTGTTTTTTATAACAGTGGGAGTTTGCGGGGGCTTCTTGCAGATAGCTTGGCTTCACATAGGCGTCTTCTAATTGTAACAGTACTCACAGGTAACTTTAGACCTTCATTTTGGGCTATTCTTCTATCCATTCGAAGGGTAGTTTTTCGCTTTCTTCCACATCTTTCAGGTTTTGGTTGCCATTTTAAAGCATTTGCGATCATTTTAGCTGAGCAGCCTATCATTTTCTGCACTTCTTTATATGTTTTCCCCTCTCTAATCAACTTTTTAATCAAGGTACGCTGTTCTTCTGAACAATGTCTGGAATGACCCATTTTCCTCAGAATTTCATTGAGAAATGCACTGTAACCAGCATGTACAACATTTGCTGCCTTCCTTCCTTAAATAAGGGCAATAATTGCCACCTGTTTTTTAAGAATGAATGACCTCACTAATAGAACTCCACACTGCTATTATTTTGAACATGCCCCTTTCAGTGATTAGTGATTCAATTGCAAAGAATCAGCAGCATGCATGTCATGACTGTTGGGTCTGTTGGATTTCTATTACTCTACTACACCTGCTAGTAAATTATTTGCCATGTAGAAATATCATTTCTACCAAAAAACAGTGATTGATCAGGTTAGTGATGTCTGACTGCTATTATTTTGAACACAACTGTATTGGACACTGGCGATTTGGGTCCTCAATTCTCTTGTTTTGATCAGTCTTTTCAAGAACTGTAGTAGGTGCAGGTAGAACATTAGTCCTTTTCACTAACGCTGGACCTCTATGGTCTCTGTGCGACATACGTGTGTTCATAGGTCTTGGAGAGAGTGTACTGAGAAGGTTACAGTCCCTATATGAGAAACTTGGGTCATTCTTAGTGTCTGCAATTCTTTTGATGAACTTGCAGAAGTAGGAAAAAGGAGGAAAGGCAACTCTATGTTCTTCCTTATACGTTGATCCAAGCGCTGCCCATCTTTCTTGAATTCCATATGGTAGCTTGAGAACAATAGATTTGATGCCATGAGAGGTGTCAAGGTAACTGAGACCAGGTAAGTTGATGTCAGCCTTAGCAAGTTGAAGCTCTAATAGAACATCGCTGAGTTCTTGAAACTTTAGATTGTCGCTAGCAGAAATCCTTGGGAAGTTTTGCAACCTTTTGAATAAAGCATCTTCAGTGACCTCTGGGCTGCCAAAGGTGTGTTCAAGTCTGCCCCAAGCAGCATTAAGGCCTGCAGCAGGGTTGTCAATATGAACTGCTTTGAGCCTCTTGATGCGTTCAGTAGCCTGGGGACCTAGCCATCTGGTTAGTAGATCTAATTCCTCTGTGACATTGATGTCTAGGTCACTCATTGTGGCCTTAAAAGTGGATTTCCAGCCTCTGTAATTTTCAGGCTTGTCATCAAACTTGGTGAGGCCTGTCTTAACAAGCTCTCTGGGGAGCATGTATTTAGCAAACTGTGACATGTCCGTGTTTTCAGATTTTACGTGCATGACTGGAGGTGGAACAGAGTTGTGACGGTTCGTGGACTTACGTGGAGTGATTTGGGAACATATGTTGCTGCTAAGGCATTCAATGCTGGAGCTGGCTTAAACTCCATTGGCATGTTGGTTTGTAGAGTAGTGTGTTTGCTAGGAGGTACTCTGTTGGTGCCAAAGTAAGGTGGACGGTCTGTTTAATACTTACCAGTGTCTGCGAGCAGCTGAGATGTTGCAGTCTCATGTATTGGAGGATATCAGGGCAAATCGTCTTGAGGTACAGTATGTGCAGAGTAGAGACTTTGATTGAGTACTTTGGCTGTTGTGACAGGGAGTTGATGTTCTGGAGAGGTGTGTGAAGAATCTGAGACATAAGATACGACTGAGTGTCTGGAACTGTTGTCTCTTTCGTTTTCACTAGCGGCTTGTTCGAAGACCCTTAACCTTGCCATGGCTGTGGCATGCTCACATTGTTTTTCCAAAACTTTAGTTTCTGCCTTTTGGCGTGTGGCTTCAGCTTCTTTCTCTGCTTTCTGATGTATGGCCTGAGCCTCCATTTCTGCTTTCTGATGTGCGGCCTGGGCCTCAATTTCTGCTTTCTTTTGGGCAAAAGCTGCCTGAATTTTTGAAGCTTCAGCATCAGCACAGGCTTTTTATTAGTTCTTGACTGAGTGTAGAGGACCTTGATTGTAGGGATTTGGAAGATCGTGAGGAGCGTCTAGTAGATGCAGAGCAATAAGACCTGGATTCATGGAGCTGTGTTATTCTCACTTCTTCCTTTGTCTTTTTCTCACCACTAAATTGTCTCTTTCAAGATTGAGCTCCTCAAAACTCAGTAATTCTTCCAATGACCTTTGAGTGTTGTGCCACTTTAACAGAGCAACATATTTAACCGCCTCCCCCCTGCCATATAGTAATATGATGGATGCAAGGGGGTTCTCTCGTTCTGGGAGGACGTCATATGACGTCCTCCCATTCTAACCACGCATGCGTGGCTCCTGGAGCACGCAGTGCGGCGATGCGCTGTGTCCCTGGGACACAGCGGATCACCGATCCATGGAAAGAGCCAAAGATGTTGGCTCGGTCATGTGATCAGCTGTGTCCAATCACAGCTGATCACATGTAAACAGGGAAATGCCGGTTATCTGCATTTCTCTCCCCACGAGCTGTCACGCTGACAGCTTATGAGGAGAGGAGAACCGGTAATCGGCATTCCTCGGAGGGGAGATGTACACAGATCATCAGAGCACTGATGATCAGTGTGCCCTGATGATCTGTGTAGCCCCAGCAGTGCCACCTATCAGTGTCCATCAGTGCCAGTTCTCATCCATGTCACCTGCCAGTGCCCATCAGTGCCACATTTCAGTGCCCATCAGTGCCACATCAATGCCACATATCAGTGCCCATCTGAGCTGCCTTTCAGTGTCACCCGTCAGTGCCAGTCAGTGCCATCTATCAATGCCAGTCAGTGCCACCTATCAGTGCTGCCAATCAGTGCCAGTCAGTGCTGCTCAGTGCCGCCTATCAGTGCCCATCAGTGCTGCCTATCAGTGCCACCTAATAGAACCAGTCAGTGCCGCCTATCAGTGCCAGTCAGTGCCACCTATCAGTGCCATATATGAGTGCTGCCTTTCAGTGCCCATCAGTGATGCCTGTCAATGCCCATCAGTGCCATCTACTAGTGCCTCCTCATCAGTGCCACCTATCAGTGTCCATCAGTGCAGCCTATCAGTGCCCATCACTGCAGCCTCATTAGCGCACATCAGTGAAGGAGAAAAATCACTTATTTACAAAATTTTATAACAAAAACTAATTTTTTTTTAATTTTAAGTGGTTTTTGGTTTGTTTAAGAAAAAATAAAAAAAACAGAGGTGATTAAATACCACCAATATAAAGCTCTGTCACAAAAAAAAAAACGATAAAAATGTCATATGGGTACAGTGTTGCATGACCGCGCAATTGTCATTCAAAGTGCAACATCGCTGAAAGCTGGAAATTGGCCTGGGCAGGAAGGGGGTATAAGTGCCTTGTAGGCTAGTGATTAACACAAAGTCTTTGATAATTCTCATAAGCAACATTCAATTGCTGGATAGCGCCCTCTAATTGTATTGGCTCATGAGATTGTTGGGAGAGAGCAGACATGCATTTAACAGTATTAGACCATAAGTCATTAATATTAGACAGCAATTCTTCGTCAGCATTAAGATTTTCTTGCACTTTCCATGTTGGAGTATTAAAGCGTTTTTCTCTTTTATCTAAGTCCTGCTCTGGATGAAGCTCTGATTGTGGTTGTGTATTAGTTTCTCCAGACTGTATATTACTTTCCTGAAACATCATGTTAGCAAGGAGAGGGGTTGACAGAACGTTTACAGAGAAATGTATCACTTTTTCAGTGGGTAAGTTCAGGTTTCATAGGCAATGATTGCACAAAGGTTTTCTTTTTCTTTCTTATAAGTTCACAGACAAGCCATGTGGTAATGTATACAGATGCAGTGTACAAACTTGCAGTTGTAAAACATTCACATCAATAATTTGTCCTAACACTGATGAGTGTTATGCTGGGATATACTTGAAGACATGTACAGACTTGTGTAGAGGTGGCTGCACTCTCTATAGCTGTTATATCCAGTATCCAAATAACATCTCACTATGTATTCTAGCTAGCAAGGATTCTTATGAAGATATTTCACTGATCTTTTGACTAGCCAGGATCCTATGAAGCATTCCACAGATCTTTTGACTAGCCAGGATTCTATGAAGCATTGCTGTAAGTGCAATATTTGGCTTATTAAATTTGTTTGCCTTGGGTAATACACAATTGGAGCAACATTTTTTCTCTTTTTATGTAACAATGGAATGGAGTATTTACTATGATCCTGGAACCTGTTCTTGAACCCACAACCTCCATCAGCCACATCACATTTCTCTTGCGAGATGCAGGGGGGTGCCATTTATTCTTAATGACATCCCCATGCTTTTCATCCCACGGCACGAGCATGGGCGCGGGAACCGTACAGAAATCACATGGTCAAAAACGCCATGTGGTTTCTGTGCTGATGCATTTTGGAAAAAGTGCATGCACCTTTTCCTAGTGTGAAACGCAAGCTTGCACACTCTGCACTAATCTGAACTGGGCTTTAGGGGCTAAAAACATGCATGCATCATACATATTAGAAGTACAACTGGGGAGTCAAAGGGTGTTCTGATAGATCATAAACTTAATAATTGCTTAAGCCAAGCTGTAGTTTCTAAAGCAAGCAAAATACTTTCCTGATAGACTCCATGGCTGCAGTGTGGGTTTAGCCCTGCCTCCTCTCCTACCCTATAGGACCCTACTCCTATAAATTTTGACTCCGTGCCAAAGGCCACATTCCTTTTTTGTCCTCCTCCTAGGACCAAAGACTGGGTTTGGAGTCTTAACGTGTTCCTTTGCTCAGGATTGCATTCGCGACCAAGGCCTGGTGGCTCAGCATGCAGGCCATGTTTTGGAAGGCGTGAGGAGATATGTTACTCATCAGTTCCAGCAATCCCCAGCTATTAGTGGGGTGGAAAAAGGACAGATGGATGCAGTGCCATGAAGAGCTAAGGCCCAGCCATTGGTGGGCAAGCGGCAATGTGGCTAGATAACCCTGCTATTGGCAGGTGGCCATGTAACACCCTGAACGGATGCAGCGGTGTCTTCCTTATTCCAGGCGGGTGGCATGGGTGCCATGTCCAGGGCGATGTATATCTTCTCCTATTGTTTACATCACAGCAGTTTATGTGTGTGTTCTTGTTGTTTTGTTTACCCTCTCTTTCCCTGGCTACTGTCTCTTCAGCCTCTCATGGCAGCTGGAGCACATCTGCATTCCAGGCTATCACTCTCTGCTCCAGCCGGCGCCCTGTCGTTCTGCGCATGCCTGGATTTGCACATGCAAAGTTCTGTCAAAATGGCAGTGGTCACGCATGCACGTGTTGTCATATATTAATGAGGAGTGATAATTGTAATTATTGTTGTTGAGGCAAAAGTTCCCTAGCCAATATGGAATGTAAAACTCCTCTATCCAAGAAATTAATTTTCCCACAGCAATTCACTTCAGCCAGAAAAAGACATTTTATTCTGTTGCAGAACAGTCCAAAAGATACTTGCAACAGATGACAAAAATCCAGCAGACTATTTGTAAATATTACAATGAACAACAGCCCTCAGTCCCATTTAAGATACTTTATATCAAGCATGAATATACTACACCATCCAGCATTTATATCCAACCTATAATATGCACCTAGGTAGCTTCCATGCACCTAGGTACCTAGGTAGCATGCAATAATGCGAGTTATGATCTATACCTGTGCATCAGCGATGATGTTGTGTAAGCACTCAAAAAATCTTTTCTTGATATACAGTTTACATAAAACAGCTGATTGGTTGGTCAAACACTTTTAATCCTAACATTTTACCAAAAGCAACAATTAAGCTACAGTGTCCACAAACCCCCTATTACCCAATTAACATTTTTCTTGCTACAGATATACAGGTACTGTCTGTCTGTTAAAAAGAATTAGCATAGGAGTGGTCTGCCAGCTCTATCAATCTTAATGGCCTCCTTTTTAATGTGCAAATGGACTTGTCACTGGCTTGTGTGTTTCATTCAATATCTATCTATATTTACACACACACACACACACACACACACAACATATATACATACATACATACACAACACACAACACACACTACCATACACACACACACACATATATACATACATACATACACACACACACACACACACACACACTACATATTCCCCCCCACTTGGATTGGTTCTATACAGAACTGATCCACGAACATAACCACAAAATAGTAAACATATGTTATCAACTGGAAGGGCTGCATTGCGATTGGCGGTATTGACAGCTTAATAATGGCTGATAGAAAATATGAAATTGAAACTGGTTACATCTCTCCTCACCAGCCTCTAAAATATCCCCTTGAAACAGTTATTAGACAATATTGTGATAATTGTGCGTAGAGATACGGACGCTGACAATCATATTTGTATCATACCCTACAAATATCATTCTCACTCCGCCAAGTCCCCCCCTCTTGGAATGGAATGTGATCTGTGTGTGTGTGCACTGGGGGTCACAAGTGCTTAAGGCACAGCTGGATACGCTTTCTGGTTGTAACCCCAATTAAGCCTGGTGCCAGAGGGTCTGACAAACACTTTCATCTGCCCGGTCGTAAAACTATAAATGTCTCGGCGTTCACAGCATTGAATCACAACATCTACTCTCGTTCACCTGACATGAAACATTATCTCAGAGTGGCCATAAAACGTACATCCCGCTTGAATCACTTTTTCATACAAATTCATAAACTTCAACAGGAACAGGGCACATTAAAATAAAGCATATATTCAGATAGGTCATTTTGATACGACTCACCTGACACCTTACATCCCTATGTGGCGTCTACAAGAGAGTAGAAAGCAATATCTTTTTATCTGGAATGGTAAGATATGCCATATTTGGTGTCTGGATGTTCAGAATATGATTCTGCATATTATTCTACCAGTGGCTGGGATGCTTCATGTACATATTGAAGGTTATTGACCATGGTATAAGCTTTGGAGGGATTTGGTCATAGCCTGGGTTCCCCGCCTAACACCCCTCCCCAAATGAGGCGATTGGCCCTTGGCTTCAGTAGACAGCCCCTGCTGGAACACTAGAAATAAGGCTGTCATGCCTGGAGAAAGAACAAGAGATTCTCCATTTTAACATCAGGAACATCTTTGGGAGAAAGGCAACCTTTTTTGTTCGGACACTTGGACTCTGCTTAAACCAAGGACTTTTGCAAGTATCCTACCTTCTGAAACTTCTTTCTTTTATCTCTCTGTTGTATTATTGCTCTCTCTATTTATATATATATTTGTTACATCTTTTCTGTAAATATTTTAATTGCACCATTTTGACCTTTTTAGTAATAAATCCTATTTTCTGAAAAGTGTTGAAACTGTCTCTAACGCTTTTAATACAAACTAAATGAATCCCTGTCTCTGAAGAGTGCTACCCTGTGTTTTAACCCTCTGCATACATCTGTCTACGGTGGCAGTGTGTATACAGACACTTATTCAAACATCATAGTGTTCCTGCTAAGAATTGTGAGTTTCCTCCTTCTCTGAAAAAAGGTGGTGGTGGCAGTGTGACGGGTTAATTGCGTAATTAACCTGACCCAGTAACAATCGCTCTCAGGCTGCTGGCACACAATTTGTGGTCCAGCGAGCTGGAAAATCTTTGTGCAGGGCGCAGCTGAGAGTGGCATTGTTACGCAAGTGGCAGCACGGTCTTAGATTGGCTGGTCCTTCAGTCACAAGTTGGTGAGAAGGGCTGGGGTCTGACGCCACGCCCATCACAAATATAACTTCAGATTATGACTCAGAAAGAATTTGGTAAATATCCACAGCCAATATAGCTGTTAGGCTTCATCTCATAGCTTGTGA